GTTTGTTCAACCAGAGGAAGGAGGAAGAAGCAGTCCAGCTGGCCTGAAAGTTTCTCTTCCTACAAAAAGAACGGGGAGAGATCCAAAAGCGTAGCCAGCTCCAGAAAATATGAAGGCTTCCTCATTCTTTCCACCTGCCATCTTCGCAGGAGGCGGGTTTCAGCATGATGGTTTGGCAGTGTTCCTCCTGCAGTGGTGTCTCCATTCCTAGACCGGGAGGGCCCTTCTTGAAATCCTTGCTTGCCTCGCTCTTGTCTGGATGATGATCCTCTGCTCTCCGATGGGGCTGCTCTTGAAGGTTACTTGGAAGCCGCAGCTGGTCTAGAACACAGCACCCCAAGAACTTAACAGTATGGGCACCCCTCCGTGTTCACCAACTGTACTGGTCACCAGGAAGATTCTGGGCATAAGTCAAGAGTGCTAGTTAATGACCTACAAAGCCCTCCATGGCTCAGTGACCACTTATCCGTGGGACCTCTGGTCTCCCAACTGCTTGCATCCAATTGGTAAGAGCTGATGGGTGGTCATGATCCAGGGCCCATCACTTAAAGAGTATCTTCTTAATCAGGGGACTGGAGGCTAAAAGCAGGGGTGGGATTCAGCCAGTCCGCACCCCTTTGGCAGAACCGGTAGCTAATTTTTTGTGGCCCAGGCCCAGAATGGACTTCCAGAAGCGGCATCCACAGAGAGAACCGGTTGTTCACATATTTGAATCCCACCACTGGCTAAAACATATAAGGAACGGTTGCTGGAATTGGGTATGTCTAGTTTAACTAAGAGAAGGACAAGGGGGGGACATGATAGCAGCCTTCCAATATCTCAGGGGCTGCCCCAAAGAAGAGGGAGTCAAGCTATTCTCCAAAGCCCCTGAAGGCAGGACAAGAAACAATGGATGAAAACTAACCAAGGAGAGAAGCAACCTGGAACTAAGGAGAAACTTCCTGACAGTCAGAACAATTAATCAGTGGAACAATTAAGTGACTTATGACCTGTTTTCACTTCACGGCCGTTGCAGCATCCCCACGGTCAGGTGATCAAAATTCAGATGCTGGGCAACTGGCTCATGACGGTCGCAGTGTCCCGGGGTCATGTGATCTCCTTTTGCAACCTTCTGGCAAGCAAAGTCAACGGGGAAAGCAGATTCACTTAACAAACGGCTTACTAACTTATCAACCGCAGTGAATCGCTGAACATCTATGGCCAGAAAGGTGGTAAAATGGGGCAAAACTCCGTTAACCAATGTCTCACTTAAGAACAGAAATTTTGGGGTCAATTGTAGTTATACGTCAAGGACTGCCTGTAATTGAAAACTTGGCTGGGCTGACTCTCAGTTTGTTGAACCTGAACACTGTATATTTTAACCCAAGTCTTTCAAAACGCAGAGTACGTCATCAAAGAACCGAGACACAAAACTAAAGTTGTGAGAGTTTATTGCATATGTAACAAAAATGGACATGACCTTCCCGGGCCCACCCTACTACACAATCACTGTTTATTCCAGCCGGCTCCATAACACATTAAATAGAACTAGCATTTCTTTTTTAAATACTTTGATTTTAGACATAAAATGAAAAAAAACAACACATTAGTGTACAACTTTTTTTTTTTTACAAAATAAAATCTGCAATATAAACGGTGAGAAGAGTAACAAGGGTAGCAGCAATATTTAAAAACCCAAGACATTACAAAAGAATAAGTTAAAAAAACACATTATAAAGTGGTTAAAGAATGGATAACAAACAAAAAAAAAGTTACTGAGGGAGAGGAAAATAAAAAATAAAAAAACCCGAGAGACTTAAAACTGCATTTCTGGAAAACTTCCTGTCCTCTGCAGTGCAGAAATACTGGGTTGTGGTTGAGAAAGGGAGAGGATTTTAAAAACAAGCTGTTGAGGCCTGAGAACAAATGTTAAGCAAGCAATCCCTTTAAAGCAGCGGCATCCAAACTCGGCAACTTTTAAGACCTCTGGACTTCGACTTCCAGAATTCCCCAGCCAGCCATGCATGGCTGGCTGGGGAATTCTGGAAGTCGAAGTCCAGAGGTCTTAAAAGTTGCCAAGTTTGGACGCTGCTGCTGCTTTAAAGCATCAACAAGCAGGAAGTTGGTCCAATTTTGACTCGGAGCTAGTCCCGCCTTTCCAATTCCTAACACTGCGCAAGTGCTGATTTTCCTGCATCCCTGAGGGCATCAAGGCAGATGAGGCATTTCAGGGCAAGTAAACAAACCAACCAAAAAATGCAGAGAGAGAGAAAGAGGGATTTGCATCACTGGACCAGGCGCAGCTGTGGGTCCTTTCACAAGGCGAGATAATCCGTCGAGAAATTGGCCCTTTTTCCTCTCCCACTGAACTGGCTAAACTACAGGTTCCTATCTCCTGGTGGGAAAAGCTGCAAATGCTTATCAGAGGGAAAGCTGCAAGGAGGAGTTTCATGCTCCACCCTCACGTAAGCTTTACTCACAGTTTTCAAGGAGGACTTTTGAGGATCTGCTCCAGATGATGCTCGTGATGGATGAGAGCAATACCAAGGCAACCTAACCTTCACGCTCGTGGATTCTGTCCTAATGGATGACCTGTCCCAAAGCTTTCAGCAGAGGTGGTCCCTAAGCCTAGCCGAGGTTAAGAAATGTTTCTTTGATGGGGGAGGCTAGGTGGTGCCAGAAATAAGTCCACGTCTAGCTTGCTTTCTCCTCCCAGCCCCAGCTGATCCTGCCTGAAGATCTTAACAAAGAGACCGGCAGCGCTTTCTTAGTTGAAGAACAGTGACACCTTTAGAAGGCAACTGGAGGAGCTGAGCAAAACTAAAGAGCTATTTCTTCCCCTCCAAGTTACCATCCAGAGAGAACCCATTCTGCACCCTGCCATCCGATCAGCCTTCTAGGGCAGGGCTCTCCCAACCTTGGCAACTTGTAAAGCTTGTGGACTTCAACTCCCAGAATCCCTCAGCCAGTTCTGGCAGTTGAAGGCCACAAGTCTCAAAGGTCGCCAAGTTCGGACACCCCTGTCCAAAAGCTACCTTTTAATGCTAGATGCAGACTGCCACAGACTTGCCTTTTGCATTTCAAGTTGCTTGACTTGTTCACGGGTCCTCGATTTTGGGCGTGGCTGACGCCCCACTTAACACCGTTCAATAGCTGGGAAACAGACTGTGCAAATCATTTTACAGTGGGAGCAGAATTCACACCTTTTATGATTCTTTAGAGGCTTAAATTCCAGTGGCAGGGTCAATCACGACTCATACAAAGTATATCATCTTGGAAAATCAGGGATGCTGGTAGATTTCTGCTGTCCAGAAGTTTGCTAAGGTCCTTCAAGATCTGAAAAAGCCTCCTTGAGCTAATCCCCTCTCAGATTATCCGCCATGCATTGGAATGGCCTCATAAGTGCAAACGAATCCCGGAAGGACCTTGCGAGTCAGTTGTTAAGTCAACCACAAAACCCAATCGTTTTGCCACACGGTGCAAACATCACAAAGGTAGATTTGCTTTCTCAGATGGGAATTCTGAAGTTTTCCGTCGCCGAGAGTTACAGTCAACCGAATAAAGAGGAAGAAAAAAAACAATCCGGGGGATCTGGACAAGTTATCTAATTTTGGTTTGTCCTATCACAGTTTAAAGCTATTCTCAATTGGTTGTATAAGTGACGATAGAAATATCCTCACAGACCGACAGAAAACAAGCAAAAACAACCCCACACCAACATGACCCACGTATGAAGTTCTGACACCTGTTAATATGCTTCTTTTTGCAAAGGAGGAAGGAAAACTCTCACAAAAGTGTCAAGGTTACACCTGATGGTTAGTGGAATTTCTGACCCCCCGAGAAATGTTATCTTGTTAACAATTACCGGCCTTCTTCGTTTGTGCAAATTAAAAAGAAGCGTTTTGACAGGGGAATCTTGGTATTGATTGTGAAAATTGGCTAAAATTGTGTCCGGGGGGGACTGGAGGGAAAAAAAAGAGAGACGCTGGAAACCGTTGTTTGGGATACTCAGTCTCTACAGGCTAAGGCCTGTGTTAGAACTCTTTTCACAAGAGCCGTGCTATATTCCAGACGGCTCAGAAATGGAACTGGATTCCGTTTATCTTTGCTGTGAGCTATTTCCTGTGGAAAGAATTTCGGCCGCTTCACATCACAATGAAAGCATTTCAGAAAACAGAGCGAGAAAAGGGGAAAGGGAAAAAAAGAAAAAAAAGGGTGGTGGATTTTCTTGAGAATCTGAGCCCGTGCCCTGCTCTCTCTGTAACAGATGCCAGGGATCGCCAAAAGAAAAATGGAAAATTATTCCAAAGAATGAATCTATCTCTTAGGCAAAGGAGCCCCGCAGAAAGAAAGAAAGAAACGAGCGTCGTTCAAGATGGCTTGATTCTCCTGAATTGTTCCTCTTAAGAGCCAAGTCATCTCATTCACAGGAAAGAAAAAAAGAAAAAAAAAAGGCTTCCTGACAAGGAATAATAATCCTCAAGTTCTCCTATGCTGACAGAGCTGGGCTCTGCTAGGTATTCCTTAAACGGGCTTTCCTTGAAATGTGCTAGTGAGGAATTCCAGTGCCACTTATTTTATTTTTATCTTTTTTGTCTCCAGAGCTTCTGGATCCTACAAGGGCTCAGGGTTGCGTCGAAGACAAACATCCACAGACACCTACCAACCAAACTCCTCGGCAAACCAATGGCAAAGATACTCAACTACAGTTTGAATCTCCTATAAAAAAAGACCACAGGTCGTAGACCTTATCACAATATGTGTTACAAATCTAGCAGAATTATCGCGGGTAACCGAAACCAAGCGCTGAGCCTGGCTGCCTGTTTTTGTGGTTTGGTTTTGTCGTCGCCGTCGTTGTTGTTTTTTCCTGGGAAATGGAAGGAAGGAAAGGGAGGGTTATTGTCACGAGAGGGAGAAAGTAGGTTTGGGAACCTCCAAAATAAAAAGCTTCCCTCTTCGCCGACGCCGCTCGAAGGAAGGGGGGAAAAACAGCCTTTGCAACCCCTTAGTTGTCAAGCAAACACTTTGGACAAAAAAGAAGTTCACAGCGAGCTTCTCCTTACAGCTTTTTCGATTTGGTGGTCCGTGAGCTCAGCCATTATCGGTTTCCTTTGGTTGCCTGGTCACTCTACCGCAAAGCCACAGGTCTCTTCCACGGCGGTCACTAGCTTTTCGTAAAGCTTCTCGTAAGACTCGTAAGGCGGAATGTCAATCCGATTAAAGCTGCAGGAGGTTAGGGAACAAGACCCAGACGGGATGCTTTTTTTAATTCAACAAACTGATAACACAGGCAGTCCTCAACTTGCAACCATTTGTTTGGTGACCTTAAGGGGCTTAGGGCTGTGGGAGATGAAAATATAGCCCCTCCTCATATAATGAGATGAGGCTGGAGCAAAACTGAGATAGGCCCCAAAGTAGTGATTTAAAACAAAGCTTTAACTGTATGCTATCTTCCAAATTATTAGCCAAATAAACTCCTGAATCTTAAAGTTAAGAATGATTGTTTTGTGCTGCTGTCTCTTTGTCTTTTTCACGGGGTTTTTCCCCGACAGGACCATTTTTCACAATTACAGCCTTTGCAGCGTCCCTACGGTCCTGTGATCCAGCTTCCGATGCTTGGCCACTGGTTTCATTTTTAGGACCGTCGCCGTGTCCCAAGGTCACGTGGGACCCTTTTGCGACCTTCTGACAAGCAAAGCCAAGGGGGGAAACAGGGTTCACTTCCCAACCGGGTTACTAACTTATCAATTGCAGGGATTCTCTTCACGAGTGTGGCGAGAAAGGTCGTAAAATGGAGGCGAAACTCACTCAGCCAATGTTTTGCTTAACCCAGTGTTTCTCAACCTTGACAATTTTAAGGCATGTGGACTTCAACTCCCAGAATTCCACAGCCAGCATTGCTGGCTGTGGAATTCTGGGAGTTGAAGTCCACGTGCCTTAAAATTGTCAAGGTTGAGAAACACTGGCTTAACCACAGAAATGACGGGCTTCACTGTGGTCGTAAGTAGGGGACTACCTGCCCCACCCTCCCTGCTATTGAAGATACACGCAGAGCTAAGCCTCCTCTACCCATCTTCAGAGAATTAATTGGTTTAAGGGTCAGGCCGAATAAGGCTAATCTGGACTCACTCGTTTCTTTTTTGCATCAGGGTTTGACAACTTCCTCTGGCAGAAACAAACCACATTCTCACAGCCCGGTCTGCTCCCGATTCGCAGTCACGCCGAGGGACTTACCAAGTATGAGCTTTTGGGAGGTTGTCTGTATTTGCATCTATCAAGTGGATAGTGAACAGCCTGGGTCCTGCCGCGCCTGTAGAACCTTGCAAATAGACATTCTAGTTAAGGCCCTTCAAAAGCGTGGCTATTTTATCGCCCTGACCTGACCTCTGGTGACCTCCCATATCAACCAAGCAGAGAACAGGAACTCGGGACTCCTGCTTTAGGGCTGTGGACACACCTGAGTGCTGAGTGCTAGGAAAAGCTCCTTCCCAAGGCTGCTCTCTCTTGGCCCGAGATTCTGGAAAGCTGCTGCTTCTCAGAAGAGAGCAGAGCTGTTCAGGCAGAGGCCCGGAAACATCAGGGACCTCAAGGCTTTGATTGGCTGCCAAACTGTCGTTTTTCAACAGGGCAGAGATGTTAACAGATAAGGAGTTACTGCGTTAACTAGGTGTAATTCAGGTTTCTGTCCTCATCCACCCCACTTCTTTTGTTGCAGTTCTGCTTTTCTTTTCTTTAAAAAAAAAAAAAAAGAGCGCACACACCCCACTACAAAGTCCACCTCTGACCTTTTGCACCCAAATGGGTAATCTGAATCTTGACTTGATTCAGTGTTAAGGCAGCTTGATCTATATTAGAATGGAATGGAATAGAAAATAATAATAGAATAGAATAGAATAGAATAGAATAGAATAGAATAGAATAGAATAGAATAGAATAGAATAGAATAAGGAATGGAATAGAATAAGGAATGGAATAGAATAAATAGAATAAGGAATGGAATAGACTAGACTAGACTGGACTGGACTGGACTGGACTGGACTGGACTGGACTGGACTGGACTGGACTGGACTGGAATAGAATAGAATAGAATAGAATAGAATAGAATTAGAATTAGAATAGAACGGAACGGAACGGAACAGAACAGGAATAGAATAGAATAGAATAGAATAGAATAGAATAGAATAGAATAGAATAGAATAGAATAGAATAGAATAGAATAGAACAGAATAGAACAGAATAGAACAGAATAGAACAGAATAGAACAGAACACAGAGTAGAGTAGAGTAGAGTAGAGTATGTAGAGTAGAGTAGAGTAGAGTAGAGTAGAGCTGGAAGGGACCTTGGAGGTCTTCTAGTCCAGCCCCCTGCTCAAGCAGGAGAACCTATACCGTCTCAGACAGGTGAATGTCCAGTCTCCTCTTAAAAATCTCCAGATATGGAGCGCCCATGATTTCTGGGGGCAAGCTGTTCCACTGGTTGATTGTCCTCACTGTCATGTATTTTTCCAATGGAGGACTGGGTGGGACAGTTAGAAAGAAGAGGGAGGGAGGGAGGGAGGGCCGATGGACTGGCATGGAAAAGCAGATCCCCTCCCCAGCTGCCTCCGGCCCAAGTCTGCTAACTCAGCCCCCCGATCAGTCACCTTGCAAAGCCTTGAAACCCTGAAGGGGGACCCGCGTGGAGCCTGTGACAAACTGGAGCAGCCGCGCTCTCCTTTCCTCATCAAAGGCTTCCACCGCTTGCCAGAACCACTTGACGATATTGCTGTCGGCCATGCAGTGCTTCAGACGCGTGTTGGCTTTCCAGTCGTTCAGATCAATCTTATCTAGGCCACCAATGATGAGCTGGGAATCAGAAAGGTCCTTTTTAAAGCAGCAGGCGCCAGGACCACACGGGATACCGCATTCATACTTTTCACCCTTGACTGCTCTGCTACTGACAGTTTTTGAACAGACTTTCCATATCCACAGGGCTAGGCAGAATGACAGAGTGGGAAGGGACCTTGGAGGTCTTCTAGTCCAACCCCCTTCTCAGGCAGGAAACCCTATACCATTCCAGACAAATGGCTGTCCAGTCCCTTCTTAAAAACCTCCGGTGATGGAGCACCCACAACTTCTGGAGGCAAGCCGTTCCACTGTTTAATTGTTCTCACTGTCAGGAAATTTCTCCTTAGTTCTAGGCTGCTTCTCTCCCATTATGCTTTTTAAAACAATAATAAAATAGGAGATTTACTCTGGGCTTGGCTGTTTAGATTTGTTAACCGCTGCATAGAAGACAAATAATGTTTAGATAGTATGCAACGGAGTCCCCCACACGATTTTCAAGCAGTCTGCATACTGCTCTACCTTGGCAACCAAGATCTGTGAACTTCAGCTCCCAGAATGCTCCAGTCAGTGTGTGTGGACTTCAACCCCCAGAATTCCCAGGCCAGAAACTGCTTTCATGGGCTATTCTGACATCTTTGAAACCTATTTTACTCTCAAGCCAGTCATACGCTCTGAAAAAATAAATCTCAGAAAATTGGCTCAGCATGAACAAAAGCACAACTGTAACTTCAGCGTTGTCAAGGTGGAAGCACTGGAATCTCCTAATTCTCTACCAGGATTTTGATTCCGATTCCAATTCTCTACCGGGATTTTGATTCCACATACGCCCCCGTTTTCCTTAGCATCTTCAGGAGATCTTAACAGGCAGCAATTTTTTCCCCCCTCTATGAGTTTTAGTATGGAAACTGCCCCAAATTTTCCAAATCAAGGCCTCTAAGTTAAGAAATATCCTTCAAAAGTAAGCTTTCTAGGCATTCTTCCTCATCTTTGGACAGAATTCTGTTTAACACATAAATTCAGAACAAGGAAAATATATGTAGAGCTATTTTCGCTTTTGAGGCTACGCGAACTGCAGCAAGAGCTAGTTTGAAATAGACAATTAATACCTCAAGTTCCTTATGGTCAAAAGGCTTCAGGAGGTGTTGAGGAATAAGTTCATTAAAACCTTTCTGAAGAGCCAGGAATTGGGCTTCAATTCCTCTCATGAACCGCCAGTTTACGTACAGCCTGGGAAACAGAAAAATAAATCTCAGAATGAGTACAGAATTACTACTGGAACGGTAAGAATTTTGCAAATGGGCATAAAGCCGGTCCCCAAAAGAAGTCACAGGCTGTCTAAAGAAACAAATTGGGTCACCTGACATATTCTTTCTTGTTCTCCTCCGTAACGGAAACATTTCTTCCGTTCGGCTTGAGTTCGTGTTGCAGAATTCTGCCAAAAGCATTGTGTTCCACACAGAAGGTATGGTCCAGAACTGGAGTGATGTCGTTCTCTCTGTCAACAAGAATGCAATGTCTACAAGTCATTTCTGCAAGTGAAGGGTTTTTTTTTATTATTATTTATTTAGCCAGACCTATTGAAACATGTAATTTTAAGAGCAGAGTTCTCTGTGGCTGATCCATGCTTTAGTAAGCAGTTGTGCAGCCGTACGGTTTTTAATATTCCTCCTTGCAGAGGAAAAAAAAAACTGTAGAGAACACAAAACAAAAAAAAGGTATTTTCTGATCAAATTCTGTCCCCAAAGATATTCCTTGGATGCACTGTTGGTTGACTTCCAGAAATGCCCAGAAATGTAAAACAGTTTTCTCATGCCTGTGTTATGAGTGAGGCTGAAGATTAATTTTAGGAATTACAAGCACGCCAAACCGATTCAGAATCACAGTTCAGCTGAACAGCTTTCTAATGAAGTTCAAGGATTACTTTCTCCTATCAAGCAGTTATCCGGAAGCGCCACTGCTGATTGCTTTATAAAAGTAATTTCAGTTTTTGGGAAGTTCTTAAGTATCTACCTTGCCAAAAGCAGCTTTAAAATCTATGTAGGCACCAGTGATTGAGGTCATTCGAGCTGGTCCTCCTGACCCAATGAAAGCATTATACATTATTGGACAGAATACTTACAAAATCCAGACTAAGCTCTTATGTAGCTCTGGATCAACCGATTCCAAGTCAGATAACTGGATGGGTTTGCCCAGCAGCTGTTTGTAGAAAGGGACCGTGAAACCCCCATTGATGTAATGCCCGTGGAACACGGCCAGCCCCATTATCCGACCGACAAAGTGGAAATAAGACAGATGATCCTGAAAAGATATGCCAACCACCAAGAATTTCATTCACTGCAAGAGATGCCAGCACCGGCTGTCTTGGGGCTACACAGCTGCCTTTCGCCAGACTTCAGTTGACGTAATGGAGGTGCCATTTCATTCTTGCAAATCCTGTGGCTGAGAAGCATCAGCACACCCCTTGAATCTGGTATATTTATGCTCTTCCGTTCAGTACAATTATGTGGGATCTTTTTTTAAAATTTTATACTATAGGTAGACCTGAGTTTCTTAACCTCAGCAACGTTTAACATGGACTTCAACTCCCAAAATTCAAATTTTGGGAGTCGAAGTCCACACATCTTTTAAGTGGCTGAGGTTAAAGAGATGCTGAGACAAATTTGAGCTGTTTATAAGAAGCTGGAACAATCTTTGTCGCACTGAAGATTCACCCAGCGTATTTTTTTAGCCTCCTGCCTCTGGGGCTTGTCAGCTGCAGGTGTTTAGCCAGGAGCAGAGGGATTTCTCTTAAATGCCAGGTTCAGAGAGACTGTAGTTACTGCTGGAGGGCAAACTCGAGCAAAGCAAACTGAACAATTAACGATAACGTTGCCAGGAATTCTTTAACCCAGTGTTTCTCCACTTGAAGATCTGTGGACTTCCATCTCCCAGAGCTCTGCTGGCTGGGGAATTCTGGGAGTTGAAGTCCACAGATCTTAAAAGTGGCCAAGGTTGATGAGAAGCACTGCTCTAACCCATTTCTATTCACAGCTTCGCCTCTCTCGAACCCTTCACAAATGAGGCCAACCCCTGACTATACTCAGCCCTTTTCATTTTTTGCACTTCGGGAATGCACGTGGTTTCTTAAAGTTGTCAAATAGCAATGTTCTTGCACAGAGACGGTGTCCTTTTGGGGAAATCGTAACATACAAATCAGGGAATTATTGTTTTTAATTAAAATACAGAATGGTATCTTTACTGCTTCGGTTAATGCTTACTCCGCTCAAAAACAGCAGCCTAAACATCTTACCTTTTCGAGAAGGGTGTACCTCAGCTATCCGTGAGCTGTTTACCTGTATCTTGCTTTACCTCCAAGAGCTCCAGGCAGCATATTTAGCAAGCCCTCTTTTAATTTTAACTTAACCACAGCCCTGCAAGGTAGGATAATCTAGGACAGCGGCTTGTGTGAAGAACTTTTGCTACAGATGGCCTGGTGCTTGGATCTTTCCAATTCAAGGCCAGGGACTATACCGCTGTGTTTTACCAGTGCCGCCCCAATCTTGAAGGTTTTTTTTTTTTAAATGACTTAAATTTAGGATCGTAGGAAGTCCAATTCTAACCCACTGTTAGACAGTAGCTTAATCTAGATACACAGTGAGCTGTTAATATGTGCCGATGTTTATTTGAAGAGATAAATTCCGAGGAGCTACATAGGCAATTATTATTTAGTGGGACGTTTTTCAAACAGGGGTGGGCAACCTATAGCAATCACCAGGTTCTCCCCTCCAAACATTCCATGCAACGTCTCTACGGTTGCTGCTCATTATGAAAACTTGGACGGGGGGGGAAATGAGAGGATGGGGGTGGGTGGGAAATGAGAGGAACTGCTTTCCTTTAAAATAGATAGCCTAGAGCAGCTGAGACAGTTATTATAACAAATTCCTCTGGGTTGCTGCAACATCCTCAGACACTTGAGGATGCTTCCCCTGATGCTTTAACCACAAGCTGTAAGTCATGGCTGAGTCATAGTTTCATGCTGAACTATTGTGGCAGCAAAGGAAGTCCCACCCCTTCCATGAAAAAATGTCCTTTTT